AGCAAACCTTTAAAATTGCAAAATCGCTTCTATTCTAATTAATCTACATTTCGTTGTTTTCTCAGATTGTACTAGTTTACAGATCATACTAATTTTGATTATCATGCCATTTTTCTGTCAATGCAATAGGTCCCATGTTGAATATGAAAAAGGAAATACAATGATATCCACAGGTGTTTAAAAGCATTAACAGTAGTAATTGTACGTAATTAGGAAACAGAGCATGTGCAGCTTTTCAAAATATTGATAAAAGTATTCGTTGATTTGAAGAAAAAAGTCGCTGAAACAATTGTGGACTGAGTATTAGAATCCTTTCCTAGACCATAGCCTATGGCTGAAACTAAATTTCGAAAAGTTTCTCTTTGTGCATAAAGTATTTTCGATTTACAATTCTTAGTGACATCGCGAGTACTGCAGTTCTAACTGAGACTGCGACATTGGTGAGAGGATTTAAATTTTGTGTCTCAGTACATATTTGCATACCTATTTCAACGTCGTCTCCCAATTTCATGAATTTTGATCCATCCCCGAGTGAATTTTGTATTCATAGTATATTTGCTTGTCTGTTTTAATATTTGTCTGTCTAGTCTTCCTTTCTGACTCAATAAAAGATCTCGATTTAGACAAATTTTATTTCTTGTTCATCTAAAGATTTGCTAAATCTATTGCGTCAGTCCATAAATTTTGGTGCAGAAAATGCGTCCATTTTTTGGTAAATTTGTAGGGTTTATATTTACTTTAACTAACATTTATTTTAAGTTTAAGCTATCTTTCCTGTCAAGCCTTTACTTTCCTCTAGAATTGCCAATGCCAGAGTATGAATAAAGGGTATTTTAACCCTTCTCACGTATCTGTAATAACTATTGGAACTCAGTAATAATTCCCAACATAATTGACTAGGTTCCTCGATTTATATCTAGACAAAGTATTTAGGAACATTATTGTCTGAAATGTTGACTTCTAGTTGAAATGTGAAGAAAGTGAAGCAAGCAATGAGTCCTATTGCTAGGATCCTGGAGTATAGTAAAGCTGATGCATGGAATAATCAGAGCAGAAACATTGCACCGGACTCACAGAAAGCAAACCTTTAAAATTGCAAAATCGCTTAGAACGCGCAGTATATTCAAATTTTAGCAGAAGTAAGTGTGTGTGTATGTGTGTGTATTTAATTATGGCAAAGCACACTAGGGCTATCTGCCTAAAAGGAGGGATGCCTTCGTGGAGGACTTTCTAAGGGAAACTGGCTCGTATACACGCTACACGTGGGGAAAACCACGAAAACGCCCATGCAGCCAGCCCGTTCGCGGGATTCGAACCTCGGACCGAACTACCAGTGTTCAGCGACTTTACCGCTCGGCCGCTGGTGGGCTATTAGCAGAAGTAAGATGAGTTTAATTAGAAGAGAAACGAGATTGTGTGTGTGCTTCTTGAATCGCTAACGTGAAGGTTGCTAGGTAGAAATTTAAGAACTGCGCGTTTCGGCCTGTGTGCCTATCTCGGCAGTTCGTTGAATCTTTCAACTGCTTAATCAGTAAGCTTGCTGAATCTCAGCTGTATTTTAGAACGCGGTTAAGTTAGTTACGATTTCAGAGCCTCGTAGGTAGGTGGTGTATTGTGTGGTGGTGTATTTAATTTGGCAAAGCACACTAGGGCTATCTGCCTGGGAAGGATGCCTTCGTGGGGACTTTCTAAGGGAAACTGGCTCGTATACACGTTACACATGGAGAAAACCACGAAAACGCCCATGCAACCAGCCCGTTCGCGGGATTCGAACTTCGGACCGAACTACCTGTGTTCAACGACTTTACCGCTCGGCCGCTGGTGGGCTCTACGTAGGTAGGGATCCAGTTGTTTATTCATCCTGTCATTAATTTTTAGTTTCACAGTTCTGTTTTTGTTAAACTGCCGGGTCGGCGTAGTTTGTGAGCGTCAAGTGAACGCAGCTGTTATTTCTAAAGTAGAATAAAAAGGGATTTAAACCCTTCTTACGAGTTTGTGTAATTTACAGTTCATAGCAGTCACTACCATAGTTGCTGACAAGTTGGGGCCACGCAACACTACAAATTTTTAAATAATATAAAAAAACACAATTTAACATTTTAATCAATTATATATTTTCCCCCATTATCTACAATGTCTCGCCATCTTACAGCCAGCTTTTTTATGCCATTGCTGTAGAAAGGCTCTAGTTTTGATGCAAAAAACCAGAAAGTTCATTGTGTACATCCTGTTTAGAATTAATTTTTTCCCAGTAAAAAATTTTGTAAGGCATGAAATAAGTGAAAATGCCTTGGGGCAATATCTGGGGAGTAAGCAGGATGTGGCAAAAGCTCCCAATTAAATTCACTCATTTTTTGCAACGTTGTTCGAGTCGTATGCGGTCTAGCGTTATCACGATGAAACAACAACTTCTTGATATTCAGCAATCGTGGGCGTTTTTTGATCCATTCTGAGTTTAGACGACAAAGTTGTTCACTATAAACTTCTGAATGAATCGTTTGATTTGATTCTAACAGTTCAAAACGTCCTGAATGGGGTTCATCATCAATGCGGCTTTTTACAACTTTAAATTTTTTAAACCATTTCTGGACAGTCCTTACGCTAATGGTGTATTCACTATGTACACTATTAATATTCATCGCTGCAAACATGGCAGATTCACCACACGAAGATAAAAAATGTAGCACAGAACTTTTATACTGATTATCTATATTCCTCTTCTATGGGTATTAAAATGCGTTCGATATTTACGAAAGTTGGTGATAAACTGAATAATATGTTAGTCAAACGATGACAATTTTCAGCAGGTTCCAAATTGTATTGTTTTAGTAAATGCGTCATAGTGAATTCCACGCATACTCTTAATGCGCACGAACTTATGGACTGACCCGATATACACTGGTGTGCAACAATTAAGGACGAAGTCGAAAAATTAGCATATCAGCTTAACGAATAGGCAGAGAGGACAGAAAGACCAATCAGGAGATTAAGTAAGGTGATGTACGGTAGCACATGCGCAGATATGCAGGTAGACGTAATGGGGGAGTGTCTGAGTAGTATAAAGCATGTTGTCGGTGTAAGATCAGTATTTCTGGAAAAGAGATTGCACGCCGTATAACAGTTAAAATCACACCGAGTTGCTGCCTCAGCGAGAAATGGCGAATAATCAATCTGTTAGACGACATCTGGATGCTTTTAACCCGAGGTCGAATTATTGGGAAGTTTGGAGAAGGCCGCAGTGTGACAAGTGTGGCTGCAGAGTTCGGAATTGCTCAACAGCATCGTTTCACGACTTTGGAGACAATTTCAAACTACAGGAACAGCTATCCGGGGGTTTAGTAGTGGTCGTCCACGAGGAACCACACCCGCAGATGACCGGTATATTGCCTTACAGGCCAGAAGAAACAGTGGCAGGCGGTAGACAGCGGGAGAAATCGCTAGACACACGACACAGGCGACTGGACGACCGATATCGCGTTTTACCGTGGCCAGAAGACTGCACGGTGGTGGTCTGTTTTGCACGACGCCCTGTACGGTGGTGTACCTCTAACGCCTGCCCATCGGAGAAGGCGTTCTCTGTGGTGCCGGGAACACCGGAATTGGAGAGACAATGAATGGGGACGAGTACTCTTTACAGATGAGAGCAGATTCAGTCTGAGTAGCGATTCTCATCGCATACTCATCTGGAGAGAGCGGGGAAGCCGCAATCATCCCTCGAACGTCATTGAAAGGGACAGGTATGGAGGTGGCGGTGTTCTCGTTTGGGGAGAAATCATGCGTGGTAGTCGTACAGACCTTCACAATTTCGACGCAGGTTCAGTCAACGGGACCGTTATTGTAACGAGATTCTTCTTCCATATGTGCGTCTTTTTAGAGGCGCTATGGGTCCGCAGTTCCTTTTCATGGACAACAATGCACCATGTCATCGCACAGTAGCTGCCGAACAGATCTTAGAGAGTGAGTATATTGAATGTATGGATTGGCCGGCACGATCTCCGGATCTCAATCCCATCGAGCATGTATGGGATTTTCTAGGCAGACGCTTGGCAGTTCGTACCTTACCACCAGTATAACGATTCCGGAGCTTCGATTGGCGCTGCAAGACGAATGGAGCAGCAATGCCTCAACAACTCATTGACACCTCATTCTCAGCATGGGGCAGACGCTGTGAAACCTGCCTAGCAGTCAGGGGAGATCATATCCCCTATTAAAGACCGGATGTTTCTTGCTGGACAACCCATCACAGGGATGTTTCGGCCTTCAGTCGCATTGCGCTCCATGCTACTTTTTCAATAAAGCTTCTTTTTATCCCTCTGATTTCTCTTTTAGTAAGTGTTGCTTACATTACTCATGTCCTTACGTATTGGGGATCTTACGGTATTAAATGTATTGATTTGGAAAGCTTTTGTACAAAGTTATACTGAAAACACCGTCTCGTCCTTAATTTTTGCACGCCAGTGTATTCATTGCATATCTGTATGTCTGCTTTAATCTCTACCAAATTAACGAAACATTTCTGTTTTATGAATCTCATTAAATCTGGATTTTATTGTATACTTATAAGTTCAACAGAAAAAAGTTTAAAATATATAAAATTTACTTGTAAATTTTAATTTTTATGATACAAAATACCAATAAAAGCTTCCAAATATGTGATATTTACCCATATGAGCCATAGGAGATATTTACCCATTTACGTTTATTTATGAGTTCGTGTCCTTTATATTAAAATTAACGTGTTTATATTGTGTTTATATGTTGCCTATAATTATCTATAGAAGAACTAAAAAGCTGGTTTATATTTCTGAAAAGTTAAATGCCAATCAAATTTTAGCCAACGGTATCTTAATTTAAAGATCTTTAGTGATAGTTACAACACATGGCACTCATTGGTAAGGACTTAAAATTCATACGGAAAGCTTGGCACATTGACATTGCTGATTGTCATGGCAGATTTAATGTATTTTTCCTTTGGATTTTGAAACATTACTGTTCTCCAGGTAATGGGGCTGACGTTCCTGGCTGCTGGCACCAGTATTCCGGACCTTATTACCAGCGTCCTGGTCGCCAGAAAAGGGTTCGGCGACATGGCTGTTTCCAGTTCTATTGGCAGTAATATCTTTGACGTCACAGTTGGGTGAGTTGCTTCTTTTTTTTCCTCTTAACTCCTTTCTGGTAGAATAGCTATCGCGTTTGGGGATGCAAGTCACGCTTAAATGTATATACATATATAAAGCTTATTTATTTATTTAATTCAAATGAAATCTTTAATTGAGTATATTTTAGTACGTAATAATAAAATTCCATAGTCAAAAATACACTTAAAATTTCTAACTGATGTTCTTTTCATTTTTAATGGCGACGTCTCTTATTTGAAAGTAACGTGGAATGAATCCACAGCCCGTAGTCAATTTTTTTTTCCCCCCTTTTTTACACGTACATTTAGAATGTTCTGGAGATATTTAAAGCAACTGAATGGCTGCGAAGCTGACGCATTTCTTGAAGCCCGCCTTTCCAGAGGCTATAAAAGGACTTGAAAAGGGAATATCGGGGGTCTTTTCTTTATGTAACGATACAGTAAACTTCATACAAAAAGATATATTTCTTTTATTTACTCCGGATATCTGATTTTTTGTAACTGCTATTTCTCCTGAATATAAAAATGGATCATGTTTTTAACTTATCGTCTGATTATTTAAGCTACGACTAAAGCTGATACATCACATATATATATAAAGAATTCTAAAATATATACTAGTTACTCATGGCAGTATTTCGAAATAACATATCTGTTCTACAGGGGGTAGGGTCCTTGACCCAGGCACTCTGGTGTTTCACCGTTTCCCCAGTGCGTCAATACAAAATCAGACTTTTTCTGAAATGGTAAAAAAAAAAAGAAAGGTGACAGTTCTATATCTCCCGTTCTACTGGATCAGTATCGAGGCTGTTGCCAAAGGCAGACGTAACGTGCTCTTCTTGACACGAGGAATTTCGTGGGCGTGGGCTGACTATATGTCAGATAAGTAAGCATTAGTAACAACAACGATGTAGACAAGTGAGCATTAGTAACAACAACAACTATGTAGACAGCGACAATTAGTAACAACAACGATAATGTAGACAAGTGAGCATTAGTAACAACAACAACTATGTAAACAAGTGAGCATTAGTAACAACAACAACAACAACAATGTAGACAAGTGAGCATTAGTAACAACAACAACAACAATGTAGACAAGTAAGCATTAGTAACAACAACAACTATGTAGACAAGTGAGCATTAGTAACAACAGCAACTATGTAGACAAGTGACAATTAGTAACAACCACAACAATGTAGACAAGTGAGCGTTAGTAACAACAACAACAACTATGTAGATAATTGAGCATTACTAACAACAAGAATAATGTGCAACAAATTATTCTTTATTGAAAATATTGCTACTGTAGATTTAATAATCCATTACAAAAATTATGAATAAATAGTATATTAGCTAGAATTTTTGCTTTACGGGGTCATACTTTAAAACTCTTTTCCATTAAATCTGTTAAAATCTGTTTTCAAAAGCATTTTTTACCTTTGTCTTATTTTGTGAAACTCTACAATGGAGGTATGTGCCTGGAATCATTATTTAAAGAAATAAATCTTGGAAACATAATCTTCGAAGACATTCTGTACCAAAGGAATTAAGGTAGAAATAACACATTTTAAGTGTAGTGTGCAAGGAAAGTGTTCTTAATTCATTTCATTATAATTTTTAATAACAAAAATGATTTTTTTTATATTTATTTACATGCAGGCTTCCTTTACCGTGGCTCTTGTCGGCCCTTGTGTTCGGACCCGTGAAGGTGAGCAGCTCCGGTATGGCTTGTTCCATCGTCATCCTCTTCCTGATGTTGATCTTCGTCATAGTGTCTATTGCCCTCTTCAAGTGGAAGATGAACATCGGTCTTGCTCTTGTCATGTTCCTCCTCTACTTCGCTTTTGTTGCCATGAGTCTTTTACTGGAGTACAGAATCGTCGACTGTGAGATCATCATGGCCTACGTTACTGGCCAATGATGACCCTTCGGTCGACAACAGTTTGGAGCAACTAGTTGTTGACTTCCACAACAGTTTAGTGCAATGACTATTGACCATAAATAACAGTTTAGTACAAACTTGTTACCATAGATAACAGTTATGCAACGATTATTTAATGTGGATAACAGTTTGTTGCAACGTGACGTTGGCGTGAACAAGAGTTGATGCAATGACCACTGAATGTGGATACCAATCTAGCGCAACGGCACTTGAGCGCGAATTACAATTCAGTGCAATGGTGAATGGAAATGGTCAACTGGAGCAAAAATAGCTGGACAGCAGATGCAAACGTATAACTGTTTGTAGCAGGATACCGTCTCCTCTAAATTAATTAATAAACTGACATTTGATCTAGGAAGGTCTTTGTTAAAATGTTTTCAAAAGCGTTTTATTTCGAACTGCCGCTCACTCAGGTGATCTCTATTGCAAATTTTTATTTTGGAAATTAGAATACCGGTGGGATTTTCAATAAATTCTTTAGCTGTCCGAAGGGAAAAAAGTGAAAGTTTGTTATGCTTTCATCTTATATTATGAATTCCAGACTTTCAGAGTTCATCTATCTATAAATGTCCAGGAAAAATATCTAGTCTTCAGAACTGACTGTATATGTGTGCAGAGTTGCAGAATGATTTGCCACTATGAATAAACATTGAATTGATACGTAGAGATTCTATACGTATATATTCTATACGTAGAGATTCTATACGTATTCATACGTAGAGCATCTGTTGAGATTCTGATCCCGTAATCGTGATCGTTTAAATTTTATTGATCTTGAAGCAATATATCATTATTATGGAGAAAGGAGGTAAGGAGAGGAAGAGTGCCTCCTCGATCGGATGTGTGCACAAAGTTCCCTTCAGATTCCTCCTCTTTGATGTGTCCAGACTTCATCCTCACAAAAAAAGTACGCTGAAGCTCATTTTATAGGATATAGATCAACAGAATTCAAATGATCGTAGCTTCAGCCAATTTACATGTGCTTACTGGAAATGGAATTGAGTGGATACAATTTGCATTCTAAGAAATCATACAGTCTCATTTCAGTTTCGATTTACATAGCGAAGCATCCATAGGGTTTTCATCCTACTTCTGTACGTGAAGTTTTAAAAACATTATGGTTAAGAGAAAGTATTTCAGCTTTTTGAAGCAACGGTTCTCAGTCTTTTCCGTTCCATAATTAATTAATATGACACATTTCAAGAGGAAATAGAAAGGGAAACAATGTTGGCAAATATAGAAGCATCTTCTTTGAACGCTGAAACAAATTTAAGCGTTTCATATAACTGCGGATCCTAAAGTAATTATATTACCTCGTATTAAAACTCTTATTGGAAAGATTTTATGAACATTCTATAAAGACAATATATTTAATTAAGACACAATAACACGCCGAATAAATACTAATTCAGAAGACAAACAACAAAAATCAGCGTTATATTACTAAAATTTCACAGGACTAGTTTCGATGGTTTTACCGAACCCCATCCTCAGCTGCAAAACCGCAAAATGAACAAGATAGGAAAAAATAATTAGATAGATAAGAAAGCCTGGACGAGAAAAGCAAGTGGCCGCCATCTTTGGGGAAAACATAACTAAAACATAATTTTCTTTAAAGGCCGAAGGCAATTGGATTGGAATTAGGATCGTTAACTATAACAAGATTTTTATGAATGTGAAATCTCTAGAAAATCCAGTTCTCCAATGGAAGATTTTTTTTGAACAACTTTTGGCAGCAGAAAAATTGAGTGTGATTTCGGACCACCAATGTTGCGCTTCATAAAAATCTTTCTGTTCTAGTAACGATCCTAATTCCAATCCAAATTTGCCTTCGGCCTTTAAAGAAATTTGTTTTAGTTTCTGTTTCACCAACAATGGCGCCACTTCTTATTCTTGCCAGGCTTTCTTATCTTATCTAATCATTGTTTCCTATCTTGTTCATTTGAGGTTTTGCAGCTGAGGGATGGGTTCGGTAAAACCATCGAAACTAGTCCTGTGGAAATTTTGTAAATATAACGCTGATTTTTGTTGTTTGTCTTCTGAATTAGTAAAGAATATATTTATTCTGTAGCCCAATAGGACTCTAATTATCCATATTAACTGGGGACATGCATATGATTAAGTAATTCGGAAAACTGGTCTGACTTTTTTATTACCGTGCACATGTGTACTGTCTATCATAAAAGTGAGCGAGTTATATTACTTATCCTGCTTTCGTTAGAGTAGATTATGGAATTGAAATAAGTAAAATGGTTTTTATTACTGTTGAAAATAACTAGAAAAGACTCCCTTTACCAAAAGCCTGAACGAGGAAATATTTTTTATTTGCTTAAGCTCATAACATATTCTTTTTAACTAACATTAAGCAAACAATTTAATTTTGATTTCCATAGGCCCTAAAACTATACACATAATTATGTTTTCACCTTTCTTTATAATCATGTTTCTTGCTTTGGTACTGTAATGTCTAGCGTATGCACGTAGCTGTTGAAAGATTTGTAGTTCGATTCTAAGCGATGGCTTCTCCAATTTGTTGTGGTTCTGAAAATTTAATAATCTCTAAAATTTATTAGATTTAAATAAATTGATTTTTTATTTATGTTAAACAGAAAGTATAACGTACTGCTGTTCAATTAAAATAAAACAAAGGGTTTATTTTAATTCATGGAAAATAATGAAATTAATAATATGATGCAAAGTCTTCTAATTATGTAATCCTATGGTATTCATAAATATACATAGATACGAACATGCCTATACACATTATGAAAGTTCTTGTCAGCCAGCATTTGTATGTTAGATACTTGCCAAATTTTCATATGATGACGCAACGTTAAAAACATACCTACTTCCCAAATGATACTAATGACATGTTCCTGAAATAAATTATGTAAACGTGCATGACATTTATAGTTTTTAGGGGACTCATACACCTTAAAATTCATAAGATCTTCGAATATGTGACTGTTGCAAAAATTAGGATAACTTATTTATTTTAAAAGATATTACTTCCAACTTTTTACACCTGACTACACAATATAGCTGCTATATGAAATAGTAATCAGAAAGTTTATGTTGCCACAAATATTTTTATAATTTAATCCGCTTCGTGGCAAAAGTTTTCGTCAAGTTTTCACCTTGCGCGCACAGTTTAACTTCTGTTGTATAAATTTAATTCCATTTTAATATATAGCTTTTATAACTTTGTAAACACTGTGAACCTAAAATTCTAAAAATTTCATGTAATTTTTTATTTTATTTGGAGTTGAATTTATAAAATGTATTTTATTAAAAAAATCTGTAAATTTTCGTGCTAATGTTTTTTAATACTAAAATATTCACAAATTTTGGTTCATTAGAAAATAGTGCCCATATAAGAATTCCATGAAATTTCAAGTACGATCATTAGCCATTTAAAAATATCACGCGCAAGGTGGAGCATGGCGAAATATTTTTGTCACAAGCGGATTTAAATTACAAAAAATTTGTGGGCAACAAAACTATCTGGTTACTAGTTTCTAAAGCACTATATTATTAGTCCTGTAAAAACTTGGAGGTAATTGCTTTTAAAATAAATAAAATATCCCAATTTGCAACGGTTCACGTATTCGAAGACATAAGGGGTTAAGGTTATGAGCCCCCTTAAATAATTACGTTTTAAAGCCGAAACAAATGTCATTCATAGAATTTACATAGTAGCTTTTAAAAATATAATTGAATTATTATGACATCTTTCATTATTATTTTAAGTAGTAACTAATAGCAATTAAATGCCTTTAAAAAATAACAATTAATGTGAATAATTGGATCCTTTATATTCCATAAAATGCTTTTATCCTAGAATAGAATAGCTTATGATATATATCTATATATATATATATATATATATATATTTAAATTAAGAAGAATTAATGCCTCTAAAAGTAAAGTCGTTAAAGGCCCATTAAAATATATTTCTGTATACATCCTAATGTATTTTTTTTTCTTGTGACCCCCAATAATATCACAGAGCCATCTGTGGCGTACTGTGTCTCTAGCTTGAGAATCGTTGTTTTATAAGCTATTTGAGTTTCTTTAAAGCAGCATAAAATACCATCTTCTGGGTATCAACCTTCTGCTTTTGCGCCAGATCCGTACGAACATGTTGTTATGTGCGAAGTCATAAAGTACTTCGAGGGAGGGTGGTAATAAAAAGAGTCGTTCATGGCCTTTTATCTAAGGCATTGCATTCGAATCGACGAGAATATGAATTAAGTCGAATGCAGACGACACGCACTAATTTACTACGACATAAATTAAGTCTAATGAACGAAGATTACGATACGAAGACCAAAATACGTCGAATGCGCAGACATAAATTCGATAGAATTCTGAGAATATAAATAATTAAGTCGAATGTATGAAGGCATGAATGACGCCACATGCATAGGACTGGTATGAGGCCAGAAGTTTGCATTTGTCTGTTTCAAATTATGATAATAACATCGAATTTCACAAAGGGTTATTGAAATGACTGCATAATTTGATTTTATATGTACATAAGAAAGAAAAACATTTTCAAGCGTGTGATAATATGCTTAATCTACAGTCTATCAGTATTCTGCGAAACTACATTCCTCTTGTTATTTTGCAGCAGTTGTAAGAAGTTAAAAAAAATTTATTACTGTGACATGAAACTTGTTTTTGTAACAGAAGCGTAAAAGTCAAAATATCTGGTATACCTGAGGTCACATTTCATCCAGAGGTTTAGAAACGTCAGACAATAACTTGGTAAAATGTGTCTTTCGTCACTATTGTTTAAAACAATTTGAGTTCGATATATTTTGAATTCCCTAATGACTATATTGCTTCTAACTAATTAGTAATGGGATAGAAAATACAAGAGTAAAAAGAAGAAATCAGTAAAATTCCGTTTGTAACTACATCTGTAAATGTTTAAAAATGTGAGGAATTTTCAAGTAGTTTGTGTTTTCATTTCATTTGAAATGTTTTATAACCTAGTATATGAACTAAAAGGGAAACAAAAGAGAGAACTAGAGGCAAAAATATTCATAAATGTTATTTATTGTGTATATCTTTTTATTTCGAATGCATCTGGAAAAGTAACTTCAAGGAAGGCATGACTGACGTGGTGGTTTAATATAAAAAAACATCTTACTTGACTGAAATTAGCTCTTCCACGTGTTTCTTAGACAGAGGCAATATATATACATACAGTTAATTTCCATTTCTTACTTTCAGCAACCATAAATCCAAATTATTCGTGTATCATCAAATCATGTCTTGCATATTTCTGATCCAAAATTGACATTTTATATTATTTGGCGATATGCATTTTTTTCACTTTTGATATGAAATATATTAAAAATTTT